GCATCACCCCCTGCTTCCCCTTTCCCCGCCGCGAGTCGCGCTAGCTTCGCCTCCAACCCCTTCACCTTCCGGTTCGGAGTAGCGGCAGCCGCTTCCGGCGACCCTGTCCGATCACTTTGCCCCTCCGAGGCGGATGCTGTGAGGAGGCCCCCGGCTCCCTTCAAGGGCAGCCCACGCACGGCGGCCATGTAGACGCCACACTCCTCCAAGCGCCCGTCGAAGGCCTGGTGGGGGAGGGAGATGAGGGTTCTGAGGATACTGGGTGTTGGCGGGGCGAGCGAGTGGCATCAAAGCAAGCAAGCAGGCGATAAATGCAGTCCTTGCGCTCCCGAAGCAGGCAGGAGCGCGTTAAGAGCGCGTGGAAACGTACCGGGGGGTAGGCCATGTCGAGCCGGTGGTAGAGTTTGAAGAGGGTGAACTTGAGGAGCGTCTCGTAGAACTCGAGGAAGGTGAGCATGATCCGAAAGTCCACGTCCGGGGGCGCCACCTGCGTGAACGCGTGCGGGACGATCCAGGTGACGGGCTGCCTGCCCACCTCCGCCTGGAAGTACACGCCTTTGACCGAGACGAAGACCTTGGTCAGGGCGTGCGCGCGGGCCACGAAGTACTGCCACTCCAAGGCAAGCTGCCGACATCGCTCCGTTCTCGCCGCCTGCACGGGCCCGTCCGCCGGCAGAGTCGCGAAGAGGTGGACGAGGGAGAGGGCGTCATCGAGGTCTCCCAGCGCGTCGTCGAAGCGGGGGTACCGCTCCCGGACCAAGTGGTCGAGGGTGTATTGCGGGGCCGTCGCCTCCCGCTTCTCGGCCAAGGTTTTGTCGCCGCGCGACACTGCCTTGCGCACCTTCTTCATGAAGGCCTGGTGATAATATCCGGTGATAATATCCGGTGATAATAATATCCGTAGGGTCCACGTCAAGGCATGATTCTGGGTACATATCCGGGATGCGCTCGCCGCCCAGGCACCAGCACGATGGAAAATCAAACCTCTAAACACTGGGGAGTGACCGTACCTTAAATTCACGAAATTTGTTAAGAAGAGGCTCATGGGACAAGAATCCCACGTCTTTGATGTGGTAATATGCCTTGTCCTTCCCGGAGGCCTTCTTCTTCGGGTCCCGGGGGTAGATCCCCTTCAAGATGCAGAGGCGACTGCAGGAATGGTTCGAGGCAATCGAGTAAAAAAGAAGGGGGAAGAATGATGAGGTTGTTGCGACCCACAATATTACAGCTTTCGCATAAACGTATGCGGGTGAAACGGTGTTCTATAAATAGGTTCTTCATGCGAGTGAGAAAGACAATCGACACATACCGAAAGTCTCGCAGAGTGATTTGCAATCGGCGCAGAACTTGACTCCTTGTCATGTAGTTGGCAACAATGCCCTTTTGACCCTTCTTTAGCTCCTTTCCCATGCGAGAAAGACGGCGCTTGCTGCTCATCTTTGATGTGACCTTCGCTTTGACCGACTTGGGCTTCTTTTTGCCAGGAACCCGCTTGCCCCGTGTCCCTCCCATGGTCGTACTTCGTGAATGCGGTGAAGAACCTGAGGCAGGAGAAGGATGGTGTACCGTTTTAAAAAACATGAGTGTGATAAGATGACGAATACAGCTCAACACCCGGCATGCGGAAATGTTCAAGTAACTGAAATAATAGGGCCGCCAGAGACGAGAAACATGTCGACAAGGACCTCAATCGGACCAAAACGCCAGCCATATGGAATGAACTTAAGAAGGTAATGTTTAAGCTTTTGTTTTTATGATACCCCGAGCATAAACCAAGGGCGGGATACTCGACGGTCGAGAAACGAGTGCCAGTGAGTGGAGGGTGGGCGAGGTAATCATGTACCACCCAAAACAAAGGGATTTTGACAAGATAATAGAACACGAAGCGAACGATCAACTGTTGAATAGAGATTAAGACACGTAGATATTCATGTATTTGATCACAACGTTCATTCATTTTGTTGATTTAAAGGGGTAGTACGGTCTGCCATAAAGTATCTTCACTTCGTTTCTTGCGTGCGAGACTCCGATTTTCCGTCATTGTTCCGGGAAAGGACTTTTGAAGTCAGGAAAGACTTCCTAGAACGCAATGTGAACAGAGATGTTTGCACAACAGCGCTTTCATACTAAAAAGACAAATCTTATAAAGATTAAAAACCAACAATACCTCCCATATATATTCTTCCACCATAATATACTCCTCTCAATCGAAATTTGCTCATTTTGAAAGCCCTTGTTTTTTTTTCCCGCGTGATCTTTTCTTATTACGGCTCTTCTATGAAGATAAGTAAGTAGTTTACCGCTGAGTGACTCCACTTGCTCCTTTCGCTCGGCCTGAAAATTACAATGCACCTCAGAAGATGGTGGTCGAGAAGTACCTGGAGGCTCCGGATGATACACGCTGTCGATAGCATACTAAAAAAATCCTGTGGATAAAATTGTCCATCGCATGAAACCATGTGGCCACGCAGATGAATCGAAAATAGGAAGTAGCGGAAAACCTCACCATTGACAACCAGATGAGCCATGTCTGTCGAGCAGTTCTTGTCACCCTTGGAATAAAAACGGTATGTAGGTGGTCAAAGACCATATTTGTGGGAAAGATATAACTCGGACACAAAGGCCACACTACAAAGTAAAGTCAGACAAAAGGGAAGGCGCGGCGTCGTCCATGTACATGAGGGGTTCAATAGAACCCTGGGAGTTTTGCTTTGTATGTTTCAATTTATACAAAGATTGCTGGAGGTAGGATCATCTTAAGATCGCTCTCCACGGATGCGACGGGCGAGCTGCACA